TCTCAAACTCTCCACATTTTCTCTATTAGCCTGCTGCATTGCCAAAAATGAGAATTTTCACTAGCCAAGCGTCTACGGTTGACAAGAGGTACAGAGGCAATATATGTTTGAAGTGCAAAACAAATAGCCCATGAAGGAGAACAGATTAGATAAGGCATTTATGAAATCTAAAAGACAAAAATATCTTAAATAAATAACAATGAGATGGAAAATATGGTAGTAGTGGATGCGCTTAGTGAAGAGTAAACACGAAATCGAGAAATAACATTGCATGAAGATGCGAAAACTGGTCCCTCAGTCTGGTTTGACAATGGATGGGTATGTTTATATGAAGATCGAACGATTGACATGGAATAACGTATCCGGCTTTTGCAGACACTATTTCGCCAATTTAGCATGTTGCAAATTAAGGATGGGCATGACTTTTATGATGTAGACTACGATGGGGTTGAACCGGTTGGAAATACCCCTGGTTGTGGGTCCGATGCAAGAAGAAAACTTGAATACAGACACAGAGGACTTCGTTTGAGGTAGAATCCTCGAAGACTTTCGGTAGTCATGCCCGAAAATGAGGTTAAACTGAGTCCATAAATTGAGGAGCCCAAAGCTCACTAAAAGGATCCAGAGTAGGAATGTCAACGGAAATTCTATAGCTGTCAGCAAAAGAATGTCTGAAAATGCTTATGCCCATAGGGCCGCTGGATTAACCTCCCATGTAGTTTCCTGCTACAAGCTGGCATAACAGTAACGGGGAGTAAAAAAGAGAAAGGTGACTGGCCAATGATGATACCACAATTATGATATTATGGGGGCAAGAAAGGCTGGAATTTCATTCAGAGTCAGACACACGAAGCGATAATAGCACATAAGTCGAGGGAATACAGCGACGGAGTGAGAATAGCCATAATACCGGACGCACAGTGGAGCGTACAGTGAAAGACAGGAAGAGAGTGAGAAAAGGGGCAAGAGTTTGAGAGGAGTGAAAGAGAGGATAGAGTGGGAAAGTGGGGTGAAGAGGGAAATCGAAATATGTAGAGGAACTGGGGGAGGCAAAATACGGATATGACTAATAGCGAGTAATTAGATCCAGTTCTGGCCTGCAAGTGCGTTACCCCAGGCCTTTGCTGACATCAATATCCGGTTACTGAAGTATTAGCTTAGGTAAGAGAAAGAGGGCATAGGGCAGAGCCAATATCCGAGATGAGGCCAGATTGATAAGAGGGAAGGAATACGAGGGGATACAAGAAGGGGGGGGCACCAGAGACAATCTGTAACAAACTGTCATATGCTGTAGGAGGTGATGTTTTGCTATAGTCGGAAGGATAGGATGGTGTAGGAGGAAACAAAAAGTCCCGACCCAAGAGCTCCATTTCAGCATAGCTACTTTGGATTATAACCGATATTTACGTAAAGATTAATAAAGGAGACGGGCACGAAAACAGAAAAGTAAAACACACCCGAAAGTTATCAGTCATCCGAGTGAATAATGGCGTTACAAGAGAAATTTTCCTATCCTCTCCATCCTCAGCTAAATTTTCTCTTTACAAACAAGTTGCTGACTGGGTAAGAAAGTTGAGGAGGACTGATAAAGAAATTAATAAAAGTAGTGAAGCAAGTATCAATGAGGACTAAGGGAGATAAGACTGAAGTGTAGATGCGTTTGATGTAATGTAATGGATAGCATTTGAGTTGGTAAAACAGTGGCTAATTTACTTTGAGAGAGAATGTTTCGAATCTAAAACGTGCAGGACAAGATGGAGATTATAAATTTAAATTGCCATTGTACAAAACCTTTATTTAAACAGATTTTATGATAACAAGCAGATTGGCAGCGATCGGTTATTAATGTCTTTCTAATGGGGAGTAATTCAACTACGTAGATTCTCTAGTGGTCTATATGCTGATTACTTTCGTATGGAAGCCCCACCATGAGGCAGCTTAGAGAGAATACTGCCACCCACGTCAAAAGCATGCTTTTGAATAGAAATATCGTAAATGAGTTGATACAAAAATGTTGGACGATAAATGCCAGTAATTGAAACAATGAATAGTCAAGACGGACGAAAGGGAAGGGGAAACAATGAGCTGGTCATAATGCCGGAGAAATTTCCCTATAGAGAAGTTGAGCCGATTATTTCAACATCCCACAAAGCATGGATTCCCATGAGTAGTTTGAAGAAGGCTTGAGTCTATCAACGAAGTCGATCGTAAATAGTATCACAAAAGTATAACTTGTATGAGTAAACTTGCTTACAAAATAGTAGATTGAATCAGATAGGCAAACCTGTTATTGTTCTAAGGGAAATCGTGAGTGATTTTGTTATAAGTAGTCTGTAGCATTATGCAACACATGATGAGCTTCATCGACAGTCTGACTTCCAAGTGTTGCAATCAGTGCTGATGAACTTGTCAGTTCTAGCCAAATGCATTCGTGTTCAAGAGCAATGCGTATAATATATACTAATAATTGAGATATTGAAAGTACTCTGTTGAGCATTATGGACTTAGAAAAAAGTTTTATCTACCAATACGAAGTCTAAGCTGCAGTCCAGCCTAAATGAGAATTTTTCGTGGCAAAGTTGAGATAAGTATTCAACGGCATCGTTTGGTTGTAGGAAATTCAGCTATCAGTCCTACCTCGACTTTAAGCGATCCAAAGCGACTCATGTTATCCTCCAAGATCTACTCAATCGGAAGATATTATCTCATTCACCAGCCCCAGCGGCCGATTATTACTCACATCCAACGTGCTTTCCGAGGCCTTCCTGCCATTCTAATATGTCAGAAAATAATATTTTATCTCTCACGTATTCTGGCTTCTCAAACCCTCCGATAAGTGGAAGCAGATAGTGTGGCGTCTGGCTAATGTGTATCCAGAAGGAAAGGGGAGCAATCTAAATGGTACATCGGTCAACCTCAGGGCGCGACAAGAACAGCCGGATTTATCAGCAAGATGGCACGGTGAGGCACTTGACGGATCAAACCGGAAATGAAGGCAAGAAAAAAGATATTCGCTGGCACGAGGAACAAGGCGTGAAAAATGCTAGCCTAGAAGGGGAGAGGAAGTGGTGATAAATTGTGTCATGATAACCAGCAGGAGACCCACTGACCGAAAAGATTAAAACACACGGACGCATGTAAACAGGCCGTGCAAATAAACGGTGCAAGCCGGCAATTTACAGCCCGCAATGGCTCCAAGCCGCAACGAAGCATGCCCACGGCAAATGCAGGTAGAGCTATACTTGATGGGAGCGCAGGCAGCCCTGGCTTGACAGCTGGCAGGAGGGCGAGCAAGAGAGTCGTGGATTGAATGTGAAGATTGGAAGAGATATAATAAGTCAGTGTGTTGAGTGAACCGGAAGAAAAGGAAATCCTTCCTCCACACAAGGTAAACAACCTGTTAGTTTGTCTCGTTATAGTACCCTCATTTATTGTGCGATTATAGATGTGCATAAATCATGAATCCATGGGTAAACATATACATATATATATATGTGTGTGTGTGTGTTTACGCATGTAGGAAAAGACATGTACTTGGGCCTCCAAGAGAACTCAACGAGCAGATAATGAAGCTGACGTAGACAGCGTAGGGTTGATATTCGTGCCTGCCACATTTGTTTTACACAATAGCGCCATATTTAGTGGATGGATAGAGGCAGGACGCCTCGGAAAGCATGTTGGGTGTGAGTAAGAATCAGCGGCCGGCCGGATGAACCGGCTTAAGTAGGACAGTCGGTGGGCAAGGCTATCTAAAAGCGACTAGTCATCATCCCCTTCATCGCCTCATACATCAGGGGCGTGTTGTCTGAAGCCAATCAGACGGCATGAGGGTATCAAACAAATGACAGATTAGTGAGCGGCTCAAGGAGTTGAGCAGACCAGTCGTAAACTGAGTGAATCTCACAAAAGCCACTTTTTAAAATGGCCAGACAGTAGAGAGAAGAGGAGATTTGAAGTCTCAGTGAGGGAGAATTGGTGTCGGCCACCGGCACTGAGGAAGAAATAATGTGTGCGAGAGGCGAATGTGGAAAAGCTGAAGCATGCTTATGTCGAAGGAATGGAGGGGTGGGATATCGGACAGCACGAATAAGCGCTTAGGTCGCACCAGCTCTCGTCTCATAAAAATGCCAGCCGCGAGATAAAAAATGGCGATAAGGGACGGGGTATAACCAATGACTTGGGAAGAGGAAAAACAGAGTACTCGGGGGCGGACGTATGAACAGCAGTGGTGACGACAATGGTGGCGTAGAAAATGACACAACTGGTAGAGAGAGAGAGACAGACAGACAGAAAGAGAGAGAGAGGGGAGTAAGTGAGATAGAGTAAAGGCAAACGAGGGAGAAAATGGCGAAAAGTGATATGATGAAGAGAATGGAGGCCCAACAGCGAAGATGAGCGGAAATTAAGTGTATGAAGCGGCCGTGTTGAGGAGAAAGTGAACTGAGCCTCAGCAGATGCCAGTGCTTTGTGGTCCATTGTGTTTCAGGCCTCGAAAGGGACGACAGGGGGTAGTCGACTGCCATTATTCTGGTAGAAAATACGAATTACGAAACAGATGGAGGAGAATGAGGCGAGATTTGGCGGCAGAGTGTGAAGGGGCTTGGCAGTGGACTAGAACGACTTGAAAGGAGTTGGTTGGGGCCAACTTCTCAAGAGTATACACAGGCGGACATGTGAACGCCGCATAAGACAGACGAATTCGTGCTGTTGGATGCCCAAATGTCGGCTGCAGCGCATATACCATGTTCATACTTGAAACAACCCAAACTGCTGGGCGTGGGGTGGCAGCAAACATCGAGCGAAGAGGCAAGATTTTCCACTTAATAGGGCTATTTGGACAAGGGCCGAACGACCCTAATCGTTCCTACAAACGGGGCAGATAGGTCTGGTTTTGACAGGAAACAAGAGCAGTGGATGTTACCAAAAAGCGTAGTGTTAAGACGGCTAGATGGATATTGATCCGCGAGCTGTAGGAGCATTTAAGGAATCGGTAAGATCTGGAGACAGTAGCTCATATATACCAAGAGGACTAAAACCTTCTTAAGCAATAGCAGAAGAAGAGCAGCTACATTTGGAAAAGCAGTGTTCGACGTCGCCTAGAGGTTGAAAAAATGGAAGCGGTGTCGGAAT